AACTGAAAAGATATCCCTCTTCCTGGATAGGCAGAACGAATATAGTTGAAATGGTCATACCTCCAAAACTGTTATATAGATTTAATGCAATCCCAATCAAAATACCAACAGCATTCCTTACAGAACTAGAAAACAATCTTAAAATTCATATGGAACCAGAAGAGACCTAGAACAGCAAAAGCAATTCTGGGCAACAAGGGCAAGGCAAGGGGCATGACAATCTTGGACTTCAAGTTTACTACAGAGCTACAGTGACAAAAACAGTATGGTACTGACAAAAAAAAAGCAGAACTGTGGATCAATGGAACAGAATACAGGATCCAGAAATGACTCCAGACACACTCAGATATCTAAAAAGGACAAATCCCCTTCACTGGAAGAAAGATAGTCTCTTTAATAAATGGTGCTGGGAAAATTGGGCTTCAACTTGCCAAAGATTAAAACTAGACCTGTATCTCTTGCCACGCACTAAACTAAAATAAAAATGGATCAAAGATTTCAATGTTACAACAGAGACACTTAATCTGCTAGAAGACAAAATAGTTAAAACTCTTGAAGATATAGGTGTAGGCAAAGACTTTCTGAACAGAACCCCAGTTACACAAGAAATAATACCAAGAATCAACAAATGGGATCACATCAAACTAAAAAGCTTCTGCACCACAAAGGAAACCAATAACAGAGTGAAGAGACAACCAACAGAATGGAAAAAATTTTTGCCAGCTACTCCTCAAAGGGCTAATATCTAGAATATATAAAGAGCTCAAAAAAATAACTCTCTCCAAATTTAAATACCCAGTTAAAAAATGAGGCTCATCTGAACTGAATAGACACTTCTCAGATAAAGACAAACAGCCAATAAATATATGAAAAAATGTTCAACATCACTGGCTATTGGAGAAATGCAAATTAAAAACACTGAGATTCCATCTCCTTCCAGAAAGAATGTCTATCATCAACCAATAACAAATGCTGAAGAGGCTTCAGGGAAAAAGGAACCCTTCTTCATTGTTGGTGAGAGTATAAACTGTTAAAACGACTATGGAAATCAGTATGGAGATTCTTCAAATGGCTAAAAGTAAAAATTCCATTTGACCTAGCTACTCTTCTTCTAGGTATCTTCTCAAAAGAGTTAAAGACATCCCACTAGTGATGTATGCATACTCATGTTTATAGCACCATTATTCGTTATAGTTGGCAGGGCAAGGTGGCACATGCCTGTAATCCCTGCAATCAGGAGGCTGAGGCAGGAAGATTGACATGAGCTCAAGGCCAGCCTAGACTACATACCAAGACTCTGTCTCAAAGAAAAAGTATAGCTAAATCTCAGAAGCAGCCTATACGTTCATCAACAGATGAACAGATGAAAATGTGGTATTTATGTACAATGAAGTACTACTCTGCCATAAAGGATAAACTATAATCATTTGTAAGAAAATGGATGCAGCTTGAGACCATAATGTTAAGTGAAGTGAGTAAGACACATAAGCTTAAATATTGCATGGTTTCTCTTATAAGAGAAACTCAATATGTGAAAAAAAAAAAGGACAAAATAAAACACAAGAAAAAAGACAAAAAAGTTATTGTAATTCAGCATTCACAATGTATCTAAAAGTGTACATTGATTTAGTATAATTATTTTATGTGTTTTATATGTTTTGGGGCCTGTTAGTCTGGCTGTTAAACTGTATGTATAGTAATTGATTTTATAAGGACTTATAAGATTAAAAAATCTAATGCTGGCAAAAATAGGGGGATCAAGGAGAAGGGGTAAACAGTGAATGTGTTATGTACATGTATCAATTCCCCACAAGGAATGAATAATTATGTACTGCAAATATGTGCTAGCAAAAATTTTAGATTAAAAAAATGAAAAATTAAATTCAATACATTTTACTGGAAAAGTGAAAAAAAATTTTAAAGTAAAAAATAAAAACAAAAAAAGCCTATGATTCTAAGGAATTAATGTGTACATATGCTGCAAAAAGTAATTCATCTTTATTATTTGAAATAAATGGGCTGCAGTTATTGTATTCACTAAAAAGTAAACTACTGACCAGCAATGTAGCAATGGCCATAAATTAACAATTAAAGATGAGTCATAGATAAGTGTGCCCATTTGGGCTATAGCAAGAATTTCTATGAGAATCAAACTGTGAAAATTAACTCCTTAGATATGATTGTTTAAAACTTCATTAACGTAGTTTAAATGGAGAAGAAGCCAATTTGAGTTTGTAAACTTTCAATACTGGGACATCTTTTTTTAAAAAAATCTGATCTTAGGGGCCAGGGATTTAGCTCAGTGGCACCGCGCCTGCCTCACAAGTGCAAGGTCCTGAGTTCGATCCCTGGTACCAAAAAACAATTTTTTTAAATAAAAAAATAAAAATCTGATCTTGACCTGGGATTTAGCTCAGTGGTTTCGCCACCTGCTGAGCAAGTGCAAGGACCCGAGTTTGATCCCTGGTACCAAAAAAAAATAAAAATCTGATCTTTCATTTATTAAAATAAAAAATTGTGCTACATAATTTATAAGGTTTCTTTTAAGAAGTCTATACATGATAATAAGCTATCTCTATATAGCAATTAATGAACTAAATTGCAAATAGGACTAGAAGAAACATGTTCTCTTTTTTAATTTTGCTTAAATATAGCTTTGCAGCATTCAATTAAAAATTTCTGACCAAATAGTGGCCATTATTTTTTGGTGAAAGACAGAACAATTCTAGAAAAAACACATAAAGAATACCATAATAAACAGGGCATGGTGGCATGAACCTGTTAAGTCCAGCATTGAGTGGCTAAGGTAGGAGAAGCCCAGCCTGGACATCTTGGCAAGATCCTATCTCAAAATAAAAAAGGGCTGGGGGTGTAGCTCAGTATGAAGGCCCTAGGTTCAATTCCCAGAACCAATCAATCAATAGTGCAGTGGCACACACCTATATTCCTAGATATCTGTGAGGCTGAGGCAGGCAGGAGGACTGTAAACTCAAGCCAGACTGGGCAATTCTTGAGGCTCTTTCTCAAAATAAAAAAATTTTTTAAAGGGCTGGAGATATACTTCACTGCATAAGGCCCTGAGTTGATCACCAATACTGCAAAAAAAGAAAACAGGAAAAAAAAGAAAAGAATATCAAAATGCAGAGCCCTTTTATCACACAAAGTCTTAAAGTACTTCCCAGCAGTCATTCTCTTGAAAGTCATTTGAAAGTATTACAATCCACTGTTCAGTAATGAGTAAAGAAAACACTAAAATTTTCCTCAAAAGATGAAACTTGCCCAGGAAGTACAGTAATTACATCAAAAAATTCTAAGTTTTGGGGGGTTTCAGGAGCTTTTTTGTTTATTTCTGGGAGATTAGGCCTGAAATTTTATTTATTTTTTTTTTAGACAGGGTCTCACTATGTAGTTCAGGCTGGTCTGGAACTCACTATGTAGCCCAGGCTGGCCTCAAATTCACACTGATCCTCCTGCCTCAGCCTCCCCCGAGTGCTGGGATTACAAGAGTGTGTCACTACACCTAGGTAGGCATGAAATTTCTAAACAAAATTTGGTCTCCCAAACTCTAAGTTACTGGTCTTCAAGCAGCAATTGACTTTGCAATAAAAGAGTAGATTATTAGTATAACATGAAAAGAAGGAAAAACTAAAACAAAATAGAGTAAAACACAGAGATATGAGTATCTAACTTTTCCAAAAATGCTACAACTTAGAAAGTACCAGGATTGGAGTTTATGAGCTCAGAGATTTAATAGTTTGATCTTGCAACCAGCCAGGATATTAATTTATGTATGATAAAAAAAAAACCCACACAAAAATACATTAAAGTACACTTAAAATTATTATTTACAAAACAAGATATAAGAAAAGGAAACAAGATATAAGAAAAGAAAAGGAAAGTTAAAAACCTTTAACTAGGGTAACATTCAATAATCAAAGAAACCTAATACCCAAGGAAAAAGATAAAATCATTCTATAATTATGAATGTGCTTGGCACTAGTAGTGCCCATTTGCTGAATGAAAAAACAGTGAAGACTATAAAAGGGACCAAAACCAAAAAGGAACTATAACCTAAACAAAGTGCTACTTCAACTGCTTGAAATACTTAGCTAAATATCAACACAATAAACTCTGTAGTTCTATGATAGTTTAAGCTCACCTCCTTAGCACTAACAATCAAAAAACAATTTACAAATCTGAAAACCAATCTTAAACCTTAAAGCAGCACATACTTTCTTTTCCTCAGTTATTAAGGGCTCTTGGGTACATTACAGTTTTCACTTAGAACTATGTTCAAAGTGCTTTCTTTTTTTTTTTTTTCTTTTTCCTCCCAGTGCTAAGGGCCTTGCATATGTGAGGTAAGCTCTCTTCACTGAGCTTTACCTCTAGCTCCAAAGAGTTCTTGCTTACTTTAGGTTACTCTGAAATGGCTGGGGATTTAGCTCAATGGTGCCGCCTGCCTCGCAAGCACAAGGTCCCAAGTTCAATCCTCGGTAACAAAAAAAAAAACTCAACACATATTTGATATTGTGATTTAAGGGCGATGTTAATATTAAATAACTGGTAACCCCAGGTATCTGAATTTGACTATTTCTAGAATCTGGTAAATAGAAAACATTCTGTAACATGGAATCCTTCCCACTCTTACTTAACCCTATTTATGGGCAGAAAAAAAAAAACTGTAACCCATACACTTGCTTTGTGCATACAATCCATCCCACTAAAAAGAAAGAGAGAAAAAAAGAAAGAAAAGAGAAAAGAAAAGAAAGTACACATACACATTTATACATTTTCCAAAGGAGTTACAGTACCCAGTAAGAAAAAAAATCGGTCAAAAGAACTGAGGAAAATCCATTTTCTTTTTTTTTTCCTTAAATTCTTTTATTGGTACATTTTAGGTATACAATACGTTTACATTTATCAGTGGGTGCTTGCACCTGAACATGATGTATCTTGGTTCTTAGAAAATTCATTTTCTTTCAGCCAAATGTGAAAATCTCTTTGTGCTATTTTGAAGAATTTGCTTAAAACTTCTATTGAATGAAAACACCTAGCCTGCCACCATGAAAATCAATAATACACCTGGTAAGAGCACAAAAGACTGACTCACCTGTTTGGAATCTATTATCCTTTGGGGAAAGGGGGGCGGGGGGCAAGTCTCCAACCAGAGGGCACAAAGTACTTTCTCCAGGACAAGAGAATGATCTCTCTTTGCCCTGCTTTCCAGCTGCCCAAAGAATAGGCCTCATGGTTACTGTAACATGACACTTCTGTAGAAATGAAATGAATCAAGTGCTTACAAACAACAGCCACTTCATACAATTGTATTTCTAAATGTTCTTTCAGATATTTATTATCAGACAGCTAAATACTATAGTTTTAAACTAAAACTTAACCTGCATATTTGCTTCATAGTGAAGATCTGCTGCTAAATACAAATACGGAAGACAAATAGTACACTGAGATACTTGTGAGTTAAAAACTAAGAGAGCCTTTGTGAAATCTTAAGTGCTACAAAAGGAAGTTAACTGGTACAGGAAATTAATCTTTGAAAAAATCTAGGAAGACTTATCAAAAATGTTTTTTATTTTTATCTTATTGGTACATGTTTGCACTCCATGATTAGATTCCTCGAGGGGAATTGACACATGTACATAACACATTTTAATTCTTTTTTCATCACTTTCTCCTCCCCTCCATCTCCCCTCCTTTTCTCTCTAGGTTCCTTCCCTTTTGCAAAAGATCCATTTCTCTATTTTCTATTATCTACTTTTCATTTTTCTCTTTATTTATATCTGGAGTTTCTCATACAAGAGAAACCATGGCACATTTCAGCTGGTATGTTTGATATATTTCACCTAACATTATGATCTCAAGGTGTATTCATTTTCCTAAAAATGATTCAAGTTTTATCTCTCATTATGTTTTTGGTTTGGTTTGGTTTGGTTTGGTTTGGTTTTGGGGTTTTTTTGGGGGGGGGGGTACCAGTGATTGAACTCAGGACCTTGTGCTTGTGAGACAGGTGCCGGAACCACTGAGCTAAATCCCCAGCCGCATGGTTTTGGTTTTTTGAGACAGGGTCTCACCTATGCAGTTCAGATTGGCCCTGAACTTACTCTGTAGCTTAGGCTGGTCTCAAACTGGTAGTGATCCTCCTGCCTCAGCCTCCTGAGTGCTGGGATTACAGGTATACACCACAGCCTATCTTTCATTATGGCTACAGGGAAAAGGAACCTTTTTACATTGTGGTGGGAATGTAAATGACAGCTACTAAATTTTACATTTCTAAATTTCCATCAGTAGGAGAGGCATACAAAGAAATACTCTCAGCTATAAAGGAGATAAGTTTTTTTGGTACTGGGGATCAATCTCAGGACCTTGCACTTGCAAGGCAGGTGCTGGAACCATTGAGCTAAATCCCCAGACCAAGGAGATAAAAAATAAATGTTGATACGTAGGATCTATTAAAAAAAGGCAAACTGAAAGTGTACTATGATTCCATCTGTGCAAATTTCACATTAATACCACATCATTTCATTAATGTATAATTTATAATATCCACTTCGAACACATATACATATTATTTAATTACACAAAAACTATATGCAACTTTAATCTTTCACACTTCTGGTTTCTCTCATTTCATCTACTCAAACTTCCTTCAATTCTTAATTACTTAAATAAAATCTAATTAGAAGTCTACTACATGACATATTCTTATAGAACATGAAATTTAAACAAATAGAAACTGCTCTTACAATTAATAAAAACTTTTTTTTTTTTTTGCATGAGGTGGTGACTTAACTCAGGGCCTTAACAATGAGCTACATTCACCCTGAGCCCTTTTTTCACTTTTTATTTTCAGCCAGGGTCTCGCTAGGTCGCTAAATACCTAGCTTAGGTTCCAATCTGCAATCCTCTTGTCTCTGTCTCCTGAGTGCTAGGAATATAGGTGTTCATCAGCGTGGCCAGCTAAAATCTTCCCTTTTTTTGTCTGTTTCCTGGCTGGCCTTGAACTCATATGTAGCCCAGGCTGGTCTCCAACTTACAGTAATCCTCCTGTCTCAGCCTCCCAAGTGCTGGGATTACAGACATGTGCCACCACACCTGGCTAATGTTACTTTTTAAATCATAGGATAATTATAAATATTTTGGCTAAGGATAGGTCCAATTTTATTATCCAGTAATTCATCAAAGAAATATTAAGCATAAAGCAATTCAATTTAAAATCCTAATTTAATCTGTGCCTGATTAACAAATACAAAACAAAGACTAAGTATACCTGCAGTAAGTAGTATGGCATGGCCGAAAATTAATTTTTTTTTATTTTGTACTGGGGATCGAACTGGGGTCCTTGTGCTTGCACAGCAGGCAGCAGGCGGCGAAACCACTGAGCTAAATCCCCAGCCCCCTCAGAAAACTATTTTTAAACAAAGTAAGAATAGGGAAAGTCTCCTTTTGAAATGGTTGTTGGTATGCCTTCTACTGAAAAGTATCAACAATTTCCAAGATTTGGCTGGGGATGAGCTCAGAGGTACAGTACATGCTTGTCATGTACAAGGCCCTGGGTGAAATGTTCAGCACAAAAATGGAGGAAGGAGAAGGAAGAGGGTAAGAAAAAAAACTTCAAAGATTCATAAAAATGCTTAACTAGACAACATTTATGCTACCTTGGTGAAAGCAACTACTCAAGTTTACATACCAGAAAATGTATTTTTCAAGAAAAGTTAGAGATCCAAATTTTTACGTGACATCACCTGATTTTCAGATGTTGGCAAATAATTCATTTACTGTTTTAAATTAAATCCTATTCAAGTCAACACTCTAAGGTCAAATAAAATCAATTTCACCCTCAGGTTTCCAGTTTCAATCTCTAGAAAAGATGTAAACGTTGTGGGGAAAGATAAGGAAGAAAAGTAGGCGAAGTCCACATCAGGAAGATCTTCATATGGAAAGGTAAGTAATCTGGATTTTATGGTTCCAATTACAGTAGTATTTTTCAAATGTAAACTCGATATCAGAACCCTTTCTTCATATTGTTACCCAACAACCTATGTAAAGTAGACACAGGAAACAACAGAGACTGCTCTAGATTAATGGATGATGACGAGCAGCCATCAATCTGTGAAAAAGTCTAGGTTTCCGGCACTGTTCATCACTGGACTATGGGATGATACAGGGCCTGTGTGTCAGAACTGGATAAAGCCATAGGTAAATATGGTTACTCTTCCTAAAATGTCAATATGCAAAAGTTGGGTAGAGAGAATTTGGAGAGAGAGAAATTTGGGTAAAGAGAAAAGTTGGGAGGTAGAGAATTTGGGAGACAAATAGTTTTTATTTTAATATTAACAAAAAATATTGCATTTTAAGGTCAATGAGGCTTCGAAAGTGACACTTCTAGTTGTACCTCCAGAAAATACAGGCGTACCAATTTGTTCTCTTTTGCCATTAAGTTCACTTAAAATTTTTAGACAAACACTGATAGAGGACACAAAAAAACACTGAAGAAATTTAAGCAGGAAATATCATGGTTAGATTCGCATGGCTTTTCAAAATGAGAAGTCAACTTTTTGTTGTTTTCTTGATTTGAGTTTGGGGGAAAGGGTGCTGGGGTAAGCAGCGTCCAGGTTAAGACTGAAGCAGAATATCCTCACCTAAGAGATAATTAAAACAGCCCAAGTAGAGATGAAGAGGACATCAAACGTGACAGAGGGAATGAGATAAAAATCTGTGATTTGAAAGTTAGGAGCCAATACATATGATATAACTCAAATTTCTAGTTTTTTCCTTGTCATTTTTCCCTAAATAACATACACTATTTATATAGTATTTACATTATGTTAGTTACCATAAGTAATCTAGAGATTACTGGAGATATAGGAGAATGGGCATAGGTCAGATAAAATAGTATGCCATTTTATATAAGGGATTTAAGCATATAGATTTTATTATTCTGAAGGTTCTAGATCCAATCTCCTGTATATACCAAGGGACAACTGTATTAACTAAAACCAAATTGCAGTTTGTCTCCTATATCTTCTAACTTAACCTAAGAGTAACATGAATGATGTTCTAAGAAATAAAATCTACCCTAAAACTAAATTCATGGCTGTTGGGTTCAAATACTCCAGTACATTCTATTACAAATATTTTCAATGGGCCGGGGATTTAGCTCAGTGGCTTCACCACCTGTGGCACAAGCACAAGGGCCCAAGTTCGATCCCCGGTACCAAAAAAAAAGAAAATTTTCAAAACAGAATGTAGTAGGGCCAGGGATTTAGCTCAGTGCCACCAAACCTGCCTACCAAGCGCAAGGTCCTGAGTTCAATCCCCAGTACCAAAAAACAAAAACAAGAATGTAGTATAACTGCAACAAAAATTATGTATTTCAATGTCATATCTAAAATGACCACCATAGAACATCAAACATAATGCCTGTGTATATGCATGTGTTTAGTTAAAGAAAAAATGCACTAAGATATTGCATTTGGACGTATATCTATATAAAACTTTCATACTGGCTTGAATACAGCCTATAAATTTATATGACTGGAAATAACTGAAAAACTGGTGGAAGGGCTAAATAAGAGATTGACAGATATGTATTTCTATCTCTTAAACATCAATCTCTCTCTCTCCATATATATATTATATATATATATATAATATATATATATAAACAAAAGAAAATACTCTACTTCCTACCAATTTTTTTTCAATACTAGAAATGAACCCAGGGTCTTGTGCGTGCTACAACTGGGTTACATCCCACACCCTTTTTTAAAATTCTATTTTGAGACAACGTCTTGCTAAGTTGGCCAGGCTGGCCTTAAACTTGCCATCCTCATGTCTCTCTCAGCTTCTCAAGTAGCTAGGATTACACATGTGCACCACATGCTCAGACTACCCATTAGTTTCAAACAGGAAAGTTCAAGCTTTTTGAAACTCTATTATGCGTCTCAACAATTTCTGCAACAGCAGAAAGCTACATATGATTTCTTAAGACTAAAAGTCAAATAGCCTGATCAGTGAAATCTGAGAGCGAGTCACTTGAAAATTCAAAGCCGATGACATCTTAAAATCAAGTTCTGGTCTAGGTCAAGCAGTTATGTGAATGCTTTAAACAAGCCAAAGGCTAACACCTAAACTGCACATACATAATTATATTACCATTATCTCCAAACACAAGAGTACAATTGGTTTCTGTTCAAAATTTTGCAAGGGCACTATACATTTTAAAAGAAAATTATATGGTATCAAAACAGAAATGGGGGCCAGGGATTTAGCGTAGTGGTTCCACTGCCTGCCTTGCAAGCGCAAGGACCCAAGTTCAATGCCTGGTACAAAAAAAAAAAACAGAAATGGCTCTACATCATAAGACATAGTTCAGTATCATTAACTCCCCAAAAGACTACAGCTTTGGGTCACAGGTATATAACCAGAAAGAATACATGAACGACATCTCGGTGAATCAAATTACATCTTCCCACTAACACTAAACTTTATACGTATTTTCATTTTAACTGACTTCCAATTAGCAGAAGTATCTACCACTGACATCAAGATTTTCCCATCCTCTAGCTTCACTATTAATCAGTAAGCAACCCATAAGACACTGAAATACAAGAATGCACTATTTAAAGAAAGCCCTCAGTGATCACTTTTGAACATTCAGTCTTTTTAATAGTGTGAAAAAACTCATTCCTTGACTTAATGCTCTGTAAACTCAGAATTTCACATATAATAAAGTTTGTTCCAAGAATAATGAGAAGTTGTCTAATACAATGGTACGTTGGTACTCGTTAATTGCTTCCAAAGACAAGAGAACCAAACAAATTATCTTGACTGGAACAGATGGCCAGTTATGAGGCAACTGACACCTATAAGTTCTAGCTTGCACATGGAGTATTGGAACCAAATTTTCCCATCAAAGTGTGTTGAGTGTCAAATTTGAAGAGTTTCAGCTAGGTGTGGTGGCACATCCCTATAATCCCAGCACTGAGGAGGCTGAGGCAGGAGGATTGCCATGAGTTTGAGGCCAGCCTGGGCTACATAGTGAGTTCAAAGCGAGCCTGAACTATACAGCAAGACCCTGTCTCAAAAAAAAAATTTTTTTTTTAATTTTTTGAAGAGTTTCAAAGCAGTCTGGTACTAAGGTATGATTGTAGTATCTTTTCAAGACAATTGAAGCATTCTCCAAAATGTAGAATCTTTATTTGAAACTTTCTGGGGAGATGGTACTAGGAATTGAATACAGGGCCTTCGCACTGAACTATATCTCTAGCCCTTTTTAAAAGTTTTTCATTTAGAGACTGGTTCTTGCCAAATCACTAAATTACCCTGGCCCTGGGTTTGAATTTGCAATCCTCCTACCTCAGCCTCCCAGAGTGCTGAGATTACAGACATGTGCCACCATGCCCAATTTATTTTAAACAATGTAGATGTAATTCATCCTATATGTATTCAACAGATGTGTATGGTGGTTATGTGCTGGTTAAATATAACTAGAACATTTTTAATGATATATTTCCCACACTGTGCTATATGTAAGTCAATGACAGTCAACTTTTCATCTGTCATAATCCATTAGTCCATCAAATAATCTGAACATCATAGTGAAAAAAATAATGTCCTCCAAAAGGACAAATTTAAGTTTCATAAGCATTCTGTTATTATACAATAACATCATATCATATGCATATTTACACAAACTCACAATTTGTAACAAATGTGTTTGGTAAAGGAAACAAAAATACATTCTTAGGAAGCAGCCCCCATTTCATCAGTCTCCCCTCAGCAATTACATCTGCTCACAATGGGCATAAATGAGAGCAGGAACTGTGAACTTCCCTCTGTTTCGCTCAGTTCTAGTATCTCTCATAGGATGTGCATCTTACTAGACTGTATGTTCAATGGTGTTTAAAGATAAATCTTTTCAACACAATACCAAAACAAAAGACCAATTATTTCATCTGGTGTTGAGGTGAAGAAATAATAATCAGTGCTAGCCGAGGCCAGATGTGGTGTTGAACACCTATAATCCCAGCCCTTGGAAGACTCGAGGCAAGAGGATCACCATGAGTTTGAGGCCAGCCTGTACTACACCATGAGTTCAAGACCAGCCTGCATTATATAGATAAGATAGATAGATAAATAGATAGATAGATAGATAGATAGATAGATAGATAGAGACCCTGTCTCAAAAAAAAAGTAACAAAACAAAACACAACAAAATCATTTATCCATACTGACAATTTCTGGTCATCATAAAAGCAAAAGTTTTAAAGGTTAAAATCTTTAAATCCACCTGTATAATTATGCTCTATGAGTTAAAGTAGACACAGGTTGAATTACTGGAAAGAAAGACGTTTACAACAGAAAAAAAAAAGCTATTTTTTAAAATGGAAATTTTAGAACTGAAAAATATTATAATGGAAATAAAATGTACTGGATTGGTTCAATAACAGAAGAGAGATGATGAAAGGAAAACTCAATGAGCTCAATCTAAAGAACAGAGATTAGGGGCCGGGGATTTAGCTTAGTGGTTCTGTTGCTTGCCTCGCAAGCACAAGGACCCGAGTTTGATCCCCGGTACCAAAAAAATAAAAAATAAAAAAAAATAAAGAACAGAGATTGGAAGACTGGGTTTGGAGACAAACAGAACTTCTGGTACAATACAAAAAGGCCTAACATATGGCAACACTGGAGTCCCAGAAGAGAAGAAAGAAATTAAAAGGGAGAGGAGGAGAAAGAGGGAGAAAAGGAGAAAGGAAGAAAGAAAACCCCCTTAGTAAAGGAAGGAAAGAAGAAAAAAAAACTTCCTAAATTTGATAAAGATAAAAAGATTTAAGAATATCAGTGAACCATAATCAGTAAAAACTCAAGAAAGAAAGAAAAAAAAACACAACCCAACATGTTATAGTCCATTAGCTACAAAGATGCAGACAAAAAAAGAA